TCTCACTTCCACTGTATAATTGTAAGGGATTTGATTTAGGTCATACCCGAATGGTCTAGCAGTTTTCCCTACTTTTTTCAATTTAAGTCTGAATTTTGCAATAGGATTTCATGATCTGAGCCACAGTCAGCTCCTGGTCTTTCTTTTGCTGACTGTATAGAGCTTCTCCATCTTTGGCTACAAGGAATATATCAGTCTGATTTTGGTATTGACTATCTGGGGATGTCCATGTGCATAAACTGTCCATGTGCCATGGTCAGTCAGAATCCTGGGATCGACATTAAATGTCTAGTCAGCACCTGTGCCTACAACAATAGCAACCTGTCTCCTCTGGTTGATCCAGAGGGTTCTATGAGCTTGTAGCGCTCTGTCTTTTTTTCTGATCTTCTCATTTCACTACCTTCCTGTTTTTAATGCCACAGGGCATGTATTTTCTTTTAAAAACTAAAAGGGGATTAATTCTAATTTTGTTTTGAAAGGGATTCTTTTTCTTTTAGAATTTCACAACCCCATTTGGAATACTTAGAGATACCCTAGAGTGTTGTAGAGGATTAGAAACAGCTGTCATAGATCCAAAGTTCTACTTTGCCAACATGCAATCTTCTTCTTTTCCAGCCATTCTAGTATTGCTTTCCTTAAATGCTCACATGCTTCATTTTATCTCACTCTTAATTAGTATATGTTTTGTTTCTCATTTAAGATGCAATAAAATGTTCTTCCAGTTCTCATTTCTCTGTATTCCTAGGCTTTCCTGGGCAATATATATGCCACTTGTGAATGTTTTCCTAGTTTAGCTTGTATCATGTTGTACTTTTTTTTAGTTATCTCTATTTAAATCATTCACCTGAGCTCTTCATGCTAATTGTTGAAAGATAAAAGTTATCACATGACTAGTGTTTCAGACCTTTAAGCCAGAATTACTCAGAGTGAAGATAAATTTATCAGAGGTTAAAAATTATTATAGGATGCACTGAGAATTACCCTAAAATACTGGGGAAATTTTTTTAAGCATGTAAACTCAAATACTAGTCCAAACATTCATTTGAAGGGACACTTGAAAAACGTATTGAGATGAAAAGGACAAAATATTGCTTAACCATTTTGCTGAGCTCTAAAAGGGTCAGTGGGGTCATAAATGAGTGATGAAATGGGGTGTTGAGGGGATCCATGCTGGGCGACAATGTGAGCATAGCTGTAGGGCCAGGGTCTTGTATGCATTGAAGAATATGAGAAGATTTACACTAGGCAAAGACAAATGAGAGATTTTGAGAAGTAACCAGATAATAACGACCTACTCAATTCTACTCAATACACTGTAATGACCTATATGGAAAGATAATCTAAAAAGAGTGTACATATTTATATGTATAACTGATTCACTTTGCTGTGTATTTGAAACTAACATAACATTGTAAATCAACTATACTTGAACAAAAATTTAAAAAAAAGAAAAGAGGATTCATATGTAGCAAGATAATGAAGGGATTTGAGTTCCTAACTCCCATAAGGAACTGAGAAGAGAATCTCAAAATATGAAGTTTGTGGTGCTGTTTTCAGAATAGGCTTATTTGTGTGCTGTTTTTCTCAGGAGCTTTAGAGGTTTAGCTCTAGAGAGTGGTATGAATTGGAATTTTGGAGAAAGTAGGTTAGATAAGTGCCAATTAACTTAGAAAGTTACATGATGTTGATGTATTTATTGACATGAATTATTAGCAAAAGGGAGAAAGACTCTAGTGGGCAGAGGAAGCAATAACATTTCTACTTTTGTTAGTAGTTCTGTTTACAGCCTTCCTTTTTCTCATTGGGGCAGTCATTCTTCCCACTTCCCAAGGGGAGGAATAACATGGTACATCTGTGAGCAAAGGTCTAATGTGATGATGTCGTGACTCTTGGCTCCCTGCCCAAGAAGAGTGCAGCCAAAGTACATAAAGATTCCTAATCATGTCTTCCCAAACAAGGTGTTGGAAACAGGCCAACTGTTTTTTTTTTTTTAATTTATCAGGAGACATGATAACCTTACAAGGTAGCAGAATATGTGCTTGATTTAGATTTGTTCCATTCCACTGAGCAAGATGGATAACTGTTGAGTTCATCTAGGCATTTAACTAAGAACAGGGAAATTGGCTTGGCCAAAATCTGTGTTATACATGTGAAATTATCCATCTATAACACCTTATCAAAATCTTGTGAAGTAAGGACAAAATATTAGCAGTTAGCATCAATTTGAACATTACAGTATGGGGATTAGCTACTCTGTACTCAATTGAGTCAGGACAAAATTCTCAGCAAAATTAAGAGCATGGAAGCATACATTACCATATGTAAAATAGATAGCCATTGGGAATTTGTTGTGTGACTCAGGGAACTGGGGCTCTGTAACAACCTAGAGGGGTGGGACGGGGAGGCAGGTGGGAGGGAGGTTCAAGAGGGAGGGGACATAGGTACACCTATGGTTGATTCATGTAGATGTTTGGCAGAAACCAACATCATACTATAAAACAATTTTCCTTCAATTAAAAATAAATTTTGAAAAAGCAAAACTGAGCAGAAAATCCAGCCTAGTGAGAACTTAAGATGCGGTGTTGACCCTGCACTTAACCAGCCAAGTGACGGAGGTGTGGCCGCCCTGTCACTTGTGTGGTAAGAGAACTGGATGAGGTGAGCTCGGGATGAAGCTTCCTCAGACTTTGGATAAGCCACTCAGTATCTCTGGGTTTCAGTGTTGCTGCAAATATAGGAATAGCAATCAGAGAACCAAGAATTATAGAAATTGTATCAAATTTTGGTGAAGTACAAAGTACTATACACATGCCTGGATATAGTAGTACCAGCTACTAAAGTAAAAGAGTGGTTCCCACAGCCTGGTCTCCAAGATGGGGCTGTTTTTATTTCTTCAAAGGCCTGATGGAAGGCTTCTGTGTGGCTATATTGAGGTGGCCCAGGATGATTTTTGAGTGGACTAATGTAAATTTAGTGTGATGGATTCAGGACATCCACGGTATTTAGAGTGCAGACTGGTATACGTACAAGTCTTTGATTAATGAGAAATGGACTGTGAATTATTAGATAAGTAAATACAGTCTTCCCAATAGGTAAAGTATTTAAAAAATGTAAAATCCCAGTGAAATAATGAAAGAAAATAATTGAGGTCCACAATCTCTTATCTAAAACTCTCAGAGTCAGACATGCTTTGGAATTCAGAAAAATCTTTGGATTTTGGAATTCTACTAGGATGCCTAGACAATATATTAAGTAACCTCTTCGGTGGGGTCTTGATCAGCACCCTTTAGTTGAGCACATTTAATTATAGGATTAAAATTTCTACAGTTAGAATCTAGAAAAATAGTACAGATGAACTTATTTGCAAAGCAGAAGCAGAGACACAGATGTGGAAAACAAGCATATAGTTGCCAAGAGGGAAAGGGAGGGGGGGATGAATTGGGAGACTGGAATTGATGTATAGACACTACTATATATAAAATAGATAACTAATGAGAACCTACTATATAGCACAAGGAACTCTACTGAATGCTCTGAGGTGACCTACGTGGGGAGGGAATCTAAAAAGAGTGGGTGTGTCTGTGTATAACTGACTCACATTGTGGAACAGCAGAAACTAATGTATGGTTGTAAAACATCAGTGTTGTCTTACATTACCCTGACTGTACGGTGAGATTAAAGGACTAAGTGGCTTCATAACAGTTCAGATTGAATTTTGTTGCCAAATTCTTTTGACATGAACTTATAAAAACCTAACAAAGCCTTTCTTTGGATTTCTAAACTGCGGCTAAAGGGTGTTGGATGGGCCTGATTAAGTAACCAATTATTGACCTATTACTATGTGTCCGCTTTAAGATAGTGCCATTTGCACTAACCTTTGTCAGCAATCTGTCCAAGTAGACATCATTATCCATTATCTGTAATTTAAAAATCAGGAAACAAGACAAGGACAGGTTAGTGATCAGTCAGAGGCACCATGGTCAGTATGTGGCCGAAGTGGTTTGAACTCAGCTTCTTCTGGCCCCAAAGAAAAAAGAAAAACAGTGTTGTTTCTTTACTGCTTGGTCAAGACCTTTGGTTAGTACGACTGTCTGTCCCTGTTGCTTCATAGTTAAAAATAATAATAATAATAATACTGCCATGAAAACACAGGGTTTCTCTCCTTCCTCTGCAGTCTCTCTAGGGAAGTTCATCCAGTGATCGTTTATAAACTAATGACCCTCAGAGGGATCTGGGCCCTCTTTCTGAGCATCACTCGTAGTCCCCTTACTGTTGGACATTTCCGTGTAGTTGTCTCACTGACCCAGCAATCTCCAAACAGAACGAATCATCTGTTCTCTCTACCCTGCTCCTTTTAGAAAATCGAATCCACCATCTCAGTTACTCCTAAATGAATGCAAAACTCAAAACGTGTGCACCTCGCTCGCTTTCCAACCCTATAAATAATCACTAAATCCTATGGGGTTACAGCTGGAGACCGGCACCGAGGGGGCTGGGGGTTTCAAAGTGTGGTAATTCAATTTGCCGATAAGAAATTTCAGATGCTTTTTACCAGACGGTGCTTGGTATTCTCGTGGTGGGGGTTTAGTCAGTCATGTATGACTCTCGCGACCCCATGGACTGTAGCCCGTCAGGTTCCTCTGTCCGTAAGATTCTCCAGGCAAGAATACTGGAGGGGGTTGCCATTTCCTTCTCCAGGGGGATCTTCCCAACCCAGGACCGAACCCTGGTCTCCTGCATTGCAGGCAGATTCTTTACCGACTGAGCCACCGGGGAAGCCCTTTGGTGCTCTAGACTGCTCTATATGTTATTGTCTGTTCATTTTGGTCTCAAAATTACCCGTGTTTTAGCTATTTAGGTGGGTGCGCCGTCATCCTTAGTAGCTAGATACCACGCTTCCCAGTAACAAGGCCTCTCGCCACTAACCTTTGCTCCAAATTTGTCTTGGGATGCTAAGGAGGTAAAGTAACAGCCACCGATATTTTCATTCCCATCTCTAGGTAAAAGGCCAAACCTGAAGGTCCACATCAATACCACAAGTGACTCCATCCTCCTGAAGTTCCTGCGTCCAAGTCCTAATGTAAAACTGGAAGGTTTTCTCCTGGGATATGGCAGTAACTTATCACCAAACCAGTACTTCCCTCTTCCTGCCGAAGGGAAATACACTGAGGCCATAGTCGGTAAGACTTTCGGGTTTCAGGCATAGGAAGAAGCGGTAACAGGTAACGTGTGTTACATGATACATGAATCCTGAAGCATCGTTTTTTTCCTACATCCTCAGCTGAACCGAATGCCATAAATACCAAACATCAAAGTTCTTGTAACACATAGCACAATTCTTTACATCAAAAAGTATATAATACTGCAGAAATAACCATCGCCATTATACCCACAATTCTTGACCATTTAACTAAGCTTGCATAGGGAAAAAATAGTTAAAATAACTGGGCTTAAATCTCTGTAACATAGCTTGTTTATGTGGATTACTTTTCCTACCTGCTGTGTCTTTACTTTCTTCTGATATAAAATATGAACTTCAGCTTTCTGGGTGTCTCTGCATGACAAGCTACCTTTAAAAATAAAAGACAAAGCATTAATATTACATTAAACTTTTTAGAGTATTTCAGACAAAAGATTAAAGCTTGTATTTGTGTTCTAAAATTTTACATCTTTAAAAATATTTTAATCACATTAAATGTAATTTGAGGATGTGAGCACTGTCAAACCTTCTCCAGAAATATTATTTGCAAATAAAACATTTTAAAGGATAACTTTTTTTTAAAAAAAAAGGAATCCTTGACTTAGAATGCTATCAAAGTCTTCCTGAACAGACTAAGATTAGGTTTATATTTTGCTCATTGCTACACTTATTGCTAAATAGCTTTTCCATAAACTTTGAAGTTTAATCCTGTAACATGAACTACTATATATGAGATCTAATATTTGTGCATATATGCAGCAAAGTTAAAGATGAATCAGTTTTACCCTACAGCTCTTTCTCACAGAGAGGTTCTCGTGGGTAAGTCTCTCTTGTACTTTAAAATTAGGCAAGAGAGTAACATTATTAGTTATAAATGCCTAGGCTAAATTTTACACAAGATATGCATGTTAAAAGCAAACACATCAGTTTGTTATCCCCCAAAATTTGAGAACTAGGCACTTTGACAAATGTAAAAACATTAACCTTGATCACATAAACCATAAGGAATTCGAAAATTTGCAAATATTCCTTCAACATATCTACTCTTTACTATTAATATAAAAAGTGGCTGGGAGCTATACATGTACCCCTGCACAAATAGAAACAGATACACTATCCCTTTATTTAATGAGCATTAAAAGTAACATTTTACTTATGACAATTTTTATCCTTGGTTGTATGGATTGAAAATATGGTTAATAATAAACATCCTTTCCTTATGAGGCGGAAGGCATCCTATCTTAAAGTGACCGAAGTTAGATTGCTAATGAAAAATATATGTAGAAAACTACAAAGAAAATTTCTAGCACAAATATATCAAGCTTTTGTTTATTCGGTAATGAGGGACGGTCAAGTGGAATAGGTACCCTTTTATTTGTTTCAACTCTTAAAACTTCTTATTATGAAAAAATTCAAACATAAGAAGAATGAAACCTATAATGACTCTTGTGTATAATCTTGGAACTTGAATATTGTCACTCTTCTGCTCATCTCTTTCCATGTCTTCCTCATATTTGCTCATATGGGTATTTTAAAGCATAGCTAGATATTATATTTGTATAGTCTTTAAGCACTTCAGTATGCATCTCTAACAGATAAAAATATTTTTAATAATGTCTTACTTTTATCATATTATAACAATAATCCCATTATATTGTTTTATGCCTAGTCCGTATTTAAATTTCTCTGGTCATCTTTAAAAATGCCCTCTTTGAGCTGTTTCTTTTTTGAATCAGGATCCTATATGGTCTACATGTTAGGTTTGACTGTTACATATGGTAAGTCTCTTTATTATATAACAGTCCTCTCTCCCTTCTCTCTTTAAATGTCATTGATTTGCTAAAGAAATTTGATTATATATTATGGTCCACAATCTGTATTTACCTAGCTGCTTTCCTGTATTTTTCAACTGGTTCCTCTATCCTGGTATTTCCTATGAAAGCTGTTTTGATTTGGAGGCTGTGTTAGATTTGGGTTAAGCATTTTCAGGAAAGAATACTTTATAGGTGGTATTATTTCCTAACAACTCACAAAAGAGGTACATAAATGGCTGGTGTCATACTTAGTAATGTTAATACTGTTTGCTATGTTTAGGTGACCTTAGCCTGACCCTGCCATTATAAAATTCATCATCAAATTTTCACTTAATGGTTTTTAGCATCAATTGATGGTCATGGCCCAGATCCATTATTTTATACAGAGGTTGTAAAATGGCAATTTTTACATTTTAGAAAGAATCTAATTCTATCATTCCTTTTGCATTTTTCAACTGAAATTCTATATTAAAGAAGAATTTTCTTTTATTTACTTTTTCACTTTCCTTATACAGTATTTAGGAAATACAACATAAATTCTCATTGTAATAAATTGATGCCTGGAAATCTGCAGTGTTGACCATTGGTATTGTTATTTATTTTATAATCAGTAAGAACGCATTGGTTATTTTTATTGATTTGTAAGATATTTAACGATTTTTAATCATTATATCACTATCCATCCCTTACAATTATTCTCACTGTCCTTTAAATATGGTTGATTGTTTAACCTTGGTTCACTATTAAACGGTGAACTTTTAAAGTTAATGTCTTTTTCTTTGGTTATTCATACCAGAATGACCTACATTGAGTAGACAGGCAATAAATATTTGTGGCACTGAAATCTGAACAGAGTCAAGTCTGTGTAGAATATTTAGGCTGGAGGAGGCTATGAGAGACTGTCTAGTCTAGGCTCTTGTCATCAGGCTAGTATATAACTAAGCCATCCAGGTATATAAAACATCACTGTGTATCTTAAAGATCTTAAAGCACAATGATTCCCAAACTTCTCCTGGAAGGCTATTCTAAGCAGCATTTTTAAAACTCTTAATTTATCCTTTAGATTGATATGTTCTTTTTGTTTATTTTCTTTCTTTTCTAGTATGCTGGTGGAAGATGGAAAACATTCTTCTTAGATATTTACTTTTCCATCTTTCTTTACGCCAAGGAATCTGTGTGCTTCTGTTTTTAATACTTTGAAACAGACTTGCATTTCCAAATTAAATGTTATTATCTAGTTGCTTAAATTGATTATAGTCTTTTTTAAATTATTATGGTTGTATTAATGGCTCAAAAATGGTTAAGCATCTGAATATTAGTTTTCAACTGTCACTGTAACAAATTACCACAAACTTGGGTGGCTTAAAACATCACAAATTAATTAACTTACATTTATGTAAGGTACATCTACTTGGGAGTAGTGACTTCTGATGTGAAGCACTGTTGGGAAACTTTAGAGATTTTTTTGTCTCTTTCTACATCTCACAAATGAATTCTTTCCCATCCTATTAGTAGTAGTGTAGTGTTAGTCATGTCCAACTCTTTGCTACCCCATGGATGTAACCTGCCAGGCTCCTCTGTCCATGAAATTCTCCAGGCAAGAATACTGGAGTGGGTTACCATTCCCTTCTCCAGGGGATCTTCTCGACTCAGGGATCAGACCTGGGTCTCCTGCATTACAGGCAGATTCTTTACCATCTGAGCCACCAGGGAAGCCTTTTCCCACCCTAAGTTTTGCTAATTCCTTGAGGCCCTGCAGTTAGCAGAAGAGGCTGCTGGCACCGTGTGGCAGGTGGATTCATGCGTTTTGTGGACAGTTAAGGAACATCTGGGCTTCCCAAGTGGCACTAGTGGTAAAGAACCCACTTGCCAAAGCAGGAGATGTAAGAGACTCGGGTTTGGTCCCTGGGTTGGGAGGATCGCCTGGGGGAGGACATGGCACCCCACTCCAGTATTCTTGCCTGGAGAATCCCAAGGACAGAGCAGCCTGGTGGGCTACAGCCCATGGGGGTTGCAAAGAGTCGGACAGAGCACGTGCGCAGCTCTGTATGTGAGAAGCCCAACGTGGGTCTCTCTTGGCTAAAGTCAAGTTGTGGCCAGGGCTGCATTCCCTCCTGGAGGCTCTGAAGGGAAAATCTGTTTCTGTTTTTGCAGTTTCTAGAGGGACCCACCTTCCTTTTCTACCTTTAATCTAAAAATATGATACAAATGAATACATAAACAAAACAGAAACAGACTCGCAGATACAGAGAACAAACTAGCGGTTTGTTCCCTATTAGTGGTTACCAATAGGGACAGGGGATGGGGAAGGGGCAAGGAATTAGGAGATACTATGTATAAAATAGAAAAGCAACAAATCTATATTATACAGCAACTGAAGTATAACCATTATTTTATTATAACTTTTAGTGGAGTATAATCTTTAAAAATACTGAATCACTCTGCTGTACACTTGAAACTAATATAATATTCTAAATCCACTACAATTTAAAAAAAATCCAGCAACACTGGGTCAAGCATTACTCATACCACACTTCTCTAATCTCTTCGGCCTCCTTCCAATTTTAAGGATCCTTATGATTATATTGAGCCCACCTGGATAATCTAGGTTACTCTCCATATTTTAAATGGGTCTACATTCTTCATTGTACCTGAAACCCTAATTCTCCTCATGTAACCTAAGATATTCACAGGTTCTGGAGAGGAGGATGTGGGCAATCCTGGAGGGCCGTTATTCTCCATGGCACAAACTGTATGTTTGAAATTTGTGTCTCTATTCCCTTTCCACTACCAGTTTAGAGTATCATCATTCTCAATTCTGCTCATCCGTAAAACAGTAATTAAGTCTATTTTACACAGATGTGCTGTGGGCGTGTTAGTGAATTCATGATCATAAAGAGATGATTTGAAATCCCTTGGGTGCAAGTTGCATGAGCAAAGAATTTTTATTTCTTTGTGTAAAAAAAGCACCACTTACATCCCCTCTTCTTACTTTATTCTGTAAGAGGATAGTAGTATTTCTTCAGTTGCACCAAACTATACCCAAACATTGTAACTTACTTTTGTTTTCAAAACAAATATTACATGCCGTTTTGTCTGCCCCATTCCACTTCTTTAAGTGTTTAAGATTCCACCACTGAAATGAGAAACGGTTGATTATTCAGAA